AACTTTTATTCGCAGTGTCTTTCACAGAATAAGTGAGGTTTTGCCAAAACATTTCAATTTGTTTATCGTATTTCGGTTCTGTTGTTTCCAAAGCATAATTGATATCTCTTTTGTCGCTAATATTGTTATTATGAATAATAATGGTGTGCCCACCGTTTTGCAGCATCGGCTCACTCTCACACTTTTCAATGGTTTGAAACATTTAAAAAACTTATTTTATAAAAGTTATATAAGTAAGTAAATTTATAGTGATCGTATCTAAAGGAACAAATAAGTTTCCAAATAAAAATTTTTCAATTGATAAGTCTTTATATAGTCTTCTGATATTTACTTATAGCATCACTTAAGAGATCAAAATTCTTATACAGTATATACTATCTTATATAGCATTAGTCTGCTTGGGAATCTTTATGGTCTTTGTTAATTCACGTAACACTTGAGCCGTAACTTTGTGAACAAATTATTTGCTGAAAGTGAAATGCAAAACCAGTTTATCAAATACTCTAAAATATTAATTTTTATGAAATATTTTTAAAGACGTCCTCATCTTACATGTAATTGAAGGCTAATCTCAAAGTTAATAACATGTTACACTTAATTTATTTAAAAATTATAAATTTATTAATTAACAAACTTTTCAATACTTTATTTCATATCATGTATTAACACATTTTTAAAATTTCAATGGATAATAAATAAAATGTTTGCATTATGTGATCACAGATTTGATAGACTATTAAGAACTAAACAAATATGAGTTATAAAATAGTTGTGTAAACGAACGAAAAAGAATGTCTTTTAACAAGGTTAGCAAACTTTTGTCACTTTTTAGGTGATCTATAATTAAGTAAATTCACATTCATTTACATTTACACCCAAAATGAATATATCAATGAATTTATTGATTCATATGCTATCAAACTATGTAGTGATTCACTATCGTATATTTTATATTTACACTATCGGTAGCAATATAATAATATACTGTAACGTCATTGAATTTTGACCTTTTTGTTTTTTAAATAATTTTAAATATATTTATTAGAGTTCAGAATATATTAAATGAAATAATCTTTTATTAAAATATTGAAAGTTTAAAATATACTTTTACTATTTAATAATTATATTACCATTATAAACATTAACCTATAATTAAGTATTTATTAAGTCTAATTTTCCCAGACATTCAGACATGTGGTGGTCAATGTATTCAGTTTGTGATTTTATAATTTTTAATGTCTGAGAAAATATGAAAATTTAATAAAATAATCTTTTGTAATTTTATGAAAGTATTTTTAACTTTTGTGTGATACATTTCTTAATTATAATGCAATTATTTAAGGTATATCACTAATTATACAAAATATTGTAATTATTTTTAAATTTAATCTTTATTTAACCTTTGTATAATAGTAATTTTGCATTTAAGATAATTTAGTTTAGTTACTAACAGTAATATTATGTACAGTATTCAATGTTATAATGAAAACCTAACTTTTAAAACAAACTATAATAAAACTAACTACAAAAAAATGTATCTAATATTTTGGTTTATTTTTGGGCATTTTTGGTGGTGGCTCACTTTGTGTATCCCCTTACTTGTGGTAATTGAGGGTTTAATTGTTGTTACTTTGTTTTCTATGTAATTGGAAATGATAATATAAATAAAATAAAAATAATTAAAAATATACATGCCAAACGATGTTTTGTAACCCAGTTTTGTGGGATAGTATGAACATCTAAGTCCATAACATTTTCAGGGCCAAGTTCACCAAGTCTAATGTGTTGAGACAATTTACCCTGTTTTAAGTGGCAGGTAATTTTCAAATATTTTTTTAAGTTACCACACTTTTACTCATAATCACGTTTTTAAATTGCTTTTACTTTTTGTAAACTGAAAATATATTGGCATACAAATTAGCTGGAATATTACATTTATTACTTATTGTCAGTGAGTAACTATTTTTTACTAATATCTTTATATTTTAATTGAACAAGTATGCATTTTTATGCTACTAATATTAATTATAATTTATTTAATTTGATGAAATTGTCCGTATTTTCATAATTTATTATCTTTATGCATTTAAATATAATAAATGATTACACACACATTCACTTGGGTTTTATTCAAACTAATATTTCAAAGTTTTTTGTTGTTTTTTCATTGCTATTGCATTAAACTCATTTTGAATTCATTGATTAAACACTTGAATCATATTAATTTGATTTCAATTGTAATTAATAAGAGTTTATATTTATATCTATATTAGTAATTAAAAATCAGTATATTTTCAAATCAAGAATAATATAAAAATTTTAGTGTAAAATTACATAATACAGTAGTATATCCTAAAATTATTCTATATATATTTAAAAATTTCATTTACTAAAAGCTTTAATAATTTAAATTTAAATTTTTAGAAAATTTAGGAATGAATTTGATCAAGGACCTTGATTCAAGGTGATAATTATAAGATGACACGTGAAAAGTTTATGATATAAAAGTTGTGACCCAACCCACACATCATGCACTTTGTGGCCTCTAAAACATACGAACTTAATTGAAACTGCCCATGGTTATTTAATATGAGATAAACTGCAATTGGTTGTAATTATAAGTAAACTTCTGTTTGAATGACTGGCTGTAGAAATAAGTTTGTGTTCAATCATATGAACAAATATACATTTGATACCTTTAATCCAAATCAAAGTAATGATTTTCGCAAATATTTTATTAATTATTAATCGTATTTTATTAAATTATTCAAGCACAGTCTTTGTGTAAATAAATTGTTTACAATTATTTGACATTTCTTAATTGATTAACAAAAATATATTCCTTTACTAATTTACAATAAGTAATCCAATATATGAAATGACAAGAATTTTATAATTACAGTACTATATTGAATATTTTACAATTCAAGTAATGACACAACTATTGAATGAATAAATAAAGTCATCATTTTTGAGGAATAATAAAATTATGGGATTTTTGCGAATGAAATCTCATGGCCTGACGGGAAGCAAAGCTGCGGTCGCACTGACCATTGGGCCACTCGCACCGGTAGGGACGCTCTCCTGTGTGCTTAAGCATATGTGCCTTCAGGTGAGTTGATTGACGGAAAGCCCAGTTGCAGGCATTGCCATCACTACCGACCCATTTGCACCTATTGGTGACCACATTATTTAGAAAATAACTCATTTCATAATCTTGTAAATTAGGTCTTACTTCCAGGGCTTTTCTCCGGTATGTCGATAATTATGATGTCTTAAACCGTTTTTATTAGATGTGCGGAACTCACAACCCGGCCAATCGCACCTGTCGTTCAACAAAATCATAGAATAAGTATCAATAAACACAAACATTAAGCCTTACTTATAAGGTTTCTCTCCCGTGTGAACTTTTGAATGCCTCTTAAGCCTACAAAACAATGGGACAATGAGTTGATTGCAAGAAACCAGTGATTGACTCACAGATTGTTACGACAGGTCTCGTAATGACAGCCCAGAAAATGACATTTAAATTTCTTTTCATTGGTGTGTAAACTCGTGTGCATATCGTAATTCACTTTCTTAGCAAACGTCTCTTCACAGCCTTTGACAACAAATATTCAATTAAAATCTAATCAATGAGTGAAAGGATCACATACCGGGCCAATCGCACTGGTATTTATTAACACCGAGATGTTTGTTGCGGTGCTGTTGGAAATTATAGCTATTTCTGAATTGTTTGCCACATTCGGGCCAATCGCAGACAGTGATCACACCGGCGGTCACTGTCTTGTGTTTTCTGTACTTCTTCTTAACCCAATTGCTCGCAAGTATTGAACTATTCTGTGGTCTTATTCCTCTTGAGATCGATAATCGTTTAGGTTTCGAGTCATTTAATGGATTGTACTCTTCGTCGTCGCCATCGCTTTGTAAGTCCATCACCGCATCAAAGCAGTGGTCAAACATGTCTTCGTAGTCCTCTTTTTTAGTGTCCAATTCATCCAAGTCTTGGTTATCAAACAGCCATTCGTTGTAACCATTGATTAAGACATTAATGTCTTGTTTCTCAGCAATAATACTCTTATCAATGCAAAGACATTTGTCAATAGTGTCCAAACACTTCTTAATCAGATGCTTAAGCGTCTGGTTCTCGACGCGGATCTTGTCCTCGACAGTCGAGCACTTCCTCGACCTCAAGATGG